CACATGTGACAGAACTGAGGCTCAGAGCTGTCAGATAATTTGCTTAAAACCACTGAGGTAAGAGAGCCAGGACTAAAACATCAGCCTGTCCCTCTCCAAAGCTTGTGCCTTTCCCGGCATGCTTGACTGCGCTCTACACACTGGTTCAGTGCAGCCACATCTCCGCGTGGCACGGGATGCGTGCCACGGACAATCAAGCTTCACAGAGTGGCCCTCTTGCCTCCTGACACCACTTGTGTCTGAGTGTTCCTAGGAGCCAAGACCCAATTCTCTTTCCCAAAGCAAACTCTTGGGCCCCAATCTGAATGGTGTCTGGGCCCTTATCTTCTCCCCAAAGTGATGCTCAAGGAAGACCGGGGTCTTCGCGTTCCTTCTCGACTTGCGCCCAGAGGGCACAGTAAGAGGTGCTTTGACCAAGGGGAGCGAGGCTGCTGTTTGTACACTCATTCATTCAGGGAATACGTACTGAGGGCCTAGCGTGTGCTAGGCACATTGCAGGTCCTGAAGACACAACTAAGAAGACGTCGTAAAGAATTTCTATCCTCATAGAGTCTACATTCTCCATGAAAGCTCCAAAAAAGGTCAAAACAAAACACACAGAAAACTACAAATACATATGAAGCAAAGTGGAAGTAATGATGATACTAGGAAGAAAAATAAAGCAGGATAAAGGGATGGAGAATGATGAGAAGTGGGATTTTAAAAAAGCTCTTAGGAGGATAAAACATTTGAACGGAGACTCAAATGAAGTACATGGGAGCCATCGCATGATCTAGAGGAAGAGCATCTCAGGCAGATAACAGAACAAGTGCAAAAGCCCTCCAAAAGGAGCGGGCTTGGTTTGTTTTAGGGAACAGAAGAAAGGTCAGTGTGGTTCGAGCAGAGAGACTGAGGGGCCATGACAGAGGAGAGCAGCAGCGGCAGATAGCACAAAGCCTTCCAGGCCACAGTCAGGAGCTTGGATTTCAAACGTGCTGTTCCAGGGTCCCAGGCACTGTGGTGTGTCACCCAGATGGGGCTGCCTGAGTAGCTAAAGAGAAACGATGGATTCCACAAACAGAGAGCACAGCAGAAGGACAGCTCAGCATGCCGGCTCACCCAGCTCTGACTCCCCCTTGAACTTGGAGGAGCAACTAAGTTCAGGGTTCAGTACCCAAGAGAGAAGGTGGGAGAGAGTTCGATGTGGCAGAGGTGGAAGAAGCAGTGTTGGCCCTACGTCTCATGTCCCTTGTCCACTAAAGGGGATCTGAATTATCAACGGGCGGTCAAATATTTAAAGCTAGAATCTCTCTGCAAATGTGCAACTCCCACGGAAGCTGCTGGTGTGCCAGCGTCCTTTCCGAGCACCTCGTCCATCTCCCTTCACACTCTTTATAGCAGCTCCATGAGACACACACTCAGAACAGGCCCACCTTACAGATGCACTAGCCAAGGTCCAGAGCCAGCCGGGAGCAGCGCGCCTGGGGCAGTAAGTGTGGAGCTGCTGTGGCTGGAGCGGCCCCTGAGAACCCCCATGGCTCCGAGGATCGAGCTGGGAAACCACATTTCTGAGGCCCCTTCTGCCAGGACAAGCCATGAACTTACCCTCCTAAGGCCTCACTGTGGCTGGGACTGTGGCGTCTGGGGCAGCTCCTCCGGCCTCTGCCGCTGTCTAGGTTGTGGGGGGCGGGGGGGGGGGGTGTAGATGAGGGGAGGAAAGGATGAGGCAGGGCAGAAATGTCGCAGGGTAGCAGGGAAGCTGCCACAGCCCCCTCAGGACCTGAATGGGCGCACTCCTGCATTTCTGCTTGAAACTGTGGCCTCCCCGAGCTGAGGCGCACTGAGCTTTCTCAGCACTCAGGCCCAGCGTGCCTTGGCGGATGTCCTGATGAGTTGGGAGAGTGTTGCTTCCTGACACAGCGGTGATGCCTTCGGAGAGACGGGGTAGTAACTGCAGCTCTCTTTCTGAGCGTTTGTGCGCACCATCACTGAGCAAAGCTTTTAAGCATGTTATCCTACTGAATCCTCTCAAAACCCCTGTGAGGTGAGCAGGCATCCCAGCTGTCTCACTCTAGTTACTCTCACCTCCATTTGACAGATAGAGAGACTGAGGATCAGAGAGGTGAAGTAACTTCCCCCAAATCACACAGCTAGTGAATAGCTGAGTTATGTCTGTCTTACACCTATGCTCATTCTCCTAAACTCAGTTGATATAGATTTTTTTTAAAGATATTTTTGAGATCTTTTCTACTGTATAGGAAACCTGGTTTATTTATCACTAAGGTTAGTATAGCTCTAACATTCTGTGAAAATATATACATCAAGTGGTCCTGAAATGTTCTGAATTACTTTGGGAGCCAGATGCCTGGGAAAATTGAGTAGTTTAATGAATTTTGCATGAGAAGTGAAGCCATGTTAAGACAAATCTTTACTCCTGTTCCTATATATGAATATCACAACTTACATGCATATGATGCAACTTGGCTTCTAATGGTTGGAAAAAAATCAAAGAGGTAAATTGTCATTCTTGGCATTTTCCCAATGTCATTTGCATTTTCCTTTCTATCAGAAGTCCATTTTAGTAAAGAAACGTAGCTTTAGTCACTTGAAACTGCTCTTCCCTAGAAAACAATTGTAAGCGTAATAAGCAAAGAGAATAGAAAATGCCAGAAGGACAGAGTAATCCACCTGGGGTCGGATTCATCACGCAGACTGACTCAGTTTTCCTTTGACATTCACATTCAGGAAGAAAAACCTGGAAACTCTAAATTTTAGGGTATTTAAGATTGTCAAGGAGTGGGGAGACGGGGCGAAGGAATTGAATTGCAGTCCCACTGGTAGGAATCAAATACAGATTTGCCCAGCTCTCAAGAAACATTTGACACGTTCCAATGCCCCACAGTCACTGACTCTCCTCTGCGGAAGGCAGACGGTTGCTATGGAAGGCTACAATAAGGTCAGGATTGCTTTACAACTATTCATAATAAAAACGCACTTTGAGATTTGATTCTGAATGTTAAACTTAAATTTGAGCAATTTAATTGCTCATCGAATAGAAATGAAATCCCATCGGTAGTCAGTTATTTCTCACAACCACTGTGTGTGAAATTGAAATCTTAAGATACCATTTCAAATATTCACTTTCTCTAAGGAAGTTCTCCCCACAGAGTTGTGAAAGACAAGAAACTGACCCAAAGTCGTAAGCTGTAATTGCTCTTTCTTTACACACTTGGGTCAAAACAGAAGCATATTGTTAAAAGGAAACTTTATGCCCAAATATTGGCCATTCAGAGGTTACCTCCTGGAACCCAAAAATATATTTATTGTAACAACTGAATGCAATATAACACTGTTGCAAGCAAAGTAGCAGCTCACCAGGTGTAAGGAAAGCAAGCAGATGCAAAGATGTCATCTGGTCACCAAGATGGCGGAATCAGGATGGAAGATGCTCACGTGCTTGACGAGGAGCAACAGGAGGTGAGGTGAAGGGACCCTGATCTGTTCGCTTTCTAAAAACAGGGTATCATTTTTCAATTTGGGTGGGGAATTCTTATTTTAAACCTCCATTTCGCCTTTAGTTTAATTTCAAGCTCTTTTTAAATTCTCCCATGGAGGTCTCCTGCTGTAACATGGCAGCCGTCATTTATGAGGGTTGAATATATGCCGAGTCTTTCCATGCATGTCCTCTCACGTCCATTACTAGCCCCACCCCACTGCAAGTGCCCCGCCCGGCCTGCACGCTCCCCGTCTGCGTGCACTCGGTTCTGGCATCCCCATCGTACGGAGGAGAATGCTGGGAGTTGAGATGCTTGCTGCCAGCCCAGGGCAGTGAGCTGGAATGCAGGCCGAGGCCCCTGAGCCCCTGCCGAATGCTGCCTCCCCAGAGTAAGTCACTGTCCTAGGCCATGCGGGCTAAGTAAGAGCGAAGTCAAACCCAGACAGTCCATTCCAGTGTCCTGGCATTGAACCGCCACGCCAACTGGTTGTCAACAGGCAAACTGCTAACCACAACCTCCACGGCTATTTTCACTTCTGATGGTAGAGTGGTGGGTTACGTGTTCATCATCCCATTTAGGCTTGCCTGAAAATTCTGGGGGTTCTCTTCCTCTAATTAAAAGCAAGAGTCTGCTCAGGAGAACGTCTTTTTGTATACTGAAGGCCTTGGATCCAAAGCTGCTCTTAAGGCTCCCTTTGACACACACACGGAGAGACATTGGAACTCTCTCCACTAGAGACCCAAACCTTGAAGGACGCAGAGACAAGAAAATGACAAGGGCATGCAGACAGCAGTGCAGTCTGCTCATACGTGTGAAAAGTCAGTAGGACTGGCTCTGAACAGGGGGCACAAGTGTCCGGGGAGTGGCTTCAGACCTCACCCCCCATCTCTCAGGGCCGGGCCAGTCAGTGCCGTCTTTACCATGGGAACAACTGTCTAAGGCCGTGATCCAGACTGTTCTCATCTAACTGTGGATCCTGAAAGCACTTGGTCGTCTCCGCTGTGGGAGACTTGTGACTGGCATCACGAGCAAGGAGGCCTTTCATAATAATTTCAGTCATTTTCAAGGGCCTCCGACAAGGCCCTTAGGGACCCAACATTTTTCTCCCCAGAAGGGCAGCCGGCTGGCCTCCTCCTCTCCCCTCCACACTCCTCCCTCTTGCTAGAATTTGCCCTTGTTGTTGGAGGGGAAACCTGAACTCCAGAATCAAGTCTGGCTGCTTCCTCTGGCCCCGACGCAGAGCAAAACAGTCTCCCGAGAATTGCTCTTGACCATTGGGAAGGCGCATTTCTCTGTACAGAGTATTTCTGACCCTTCACGGGGGGCCAGTTTAACCGCAGGAGTCCAGTTTTTGAAAGATGCTGAGGGAGGGAATTCTGCCGCCAACAGACCGCGTGGTCCCTCCCAGCCACCCTCCCTCGGGGATTAGCTGCCCCCGGCGCTGCTCAGGCGGACCCAGCCCGCGCGCCCGGCTCGCACAGCCCGGGGCGCCTCCCTGCAGCGCGAACGCGGGCGCAGCCCACCGCCAGCAGAGCCGCGCCGTCCGGCCGTCCCCGCGCGCCCTGCCCGCGGACCTGGGACCTCGAACCCCCGACCGGCGCGGAAGCCCCTCGGAACGCTCGCTTTTCTGTATGTGCCGATTTCACATTCTTGTCTTTTCTTTCTTCCTGGAGCAGCCCGCTGGTTACTTTCAGTCTCAGTAACCAAAAGGGAAACGCCGAAGAGGGGAAGCCCTAAAGGATGACATAGAGGCCCCCGGCCGCCTCTCCAAGGAGAGGTGCTCCCTGCGCGCGTCTCCACGTCCCGGACGCTGGCCCCTTTAAGAAGCCAAGTCCGTCCTGACAGTGCTGCTGTTTGTATTGCTAATCCCCAGGAGCCCCGTAAAAGAAAAAAAAAGGGGGGGGGGAGGGGGGACCGGGCAGCTGTCTCTTTAAATGTGATTTCCTTCTATTGTATTTGAATCGTGATCAGGAAAAAGGAAATGAAACCAGAGACAGAGGGAAGCTGAGCGAAAATAGACCTTCCCGAGAGAGCGGGGAGCCGAGGAGAGGCGCGGTCCCCTCCCCGCCCCCGGGCCGCCGCCCCCCGCCCGCCCGCGAGCCCGCGCCGCGACCCCGGCCGGAGGTGCGCGCATCCCCGGCGGCGACAGCGCGCGGGCCGAGCCGGACGGGCGGCGGCGGGACCGGGATGGAAGGTTGAGTCCCGAGCGCGGCGGGCAGCGCGGCGGCCGCGGGGGCCAGGCTGCGCCCCGGTCCCGGTCCCCCGTCCCCGCCCCGGCCGCGGCGCGCCGGCCGCGCGGTGATTCGCTCTCTCTCTCTGGCGTTTGAAGGGAGCGCGGTGACTGTCCTTGAGCGCCGAGGGCCGAGCTCGCCGCCGGGGCGCCGGAGCAAGAGGCGGCGCGGGAGCGGCGGCGGCGCCCGAGCACCCGAGGGGGTCCGAGCCCCGGCCGCCGGCCGGCCCCGCGCCACAAAGGGAGCGCCCGCGCCGCCTGGCACGCCACCTCCCTCCCCAATGTCCTCGGCCATCGAGAGGAAGAGCCTGGACCCGTCTGAGTAAGTGCGGCGCCCCCGCCCCTGCCGCCCTGGGGGTCCGCGGCCTCGCGCCCCGGCGGCGGGGTGGCCGGGTGGCCGGGTGGGCGGCGGGAGGGCTCCAGGTGCGCGCCCGCCGCGTGCCCTTGGCTCCCTCTGCCGCGCGCGGGGCTCCCCCTTCCTCGCGGGTGACTCCTGGGGCCCGGAGCGGGGCTGGGCGGCGGGCGGCGGGGACAGGGGTCGGCCCGGCGCCCCTGCGGGCCCTCCCGGGACCCGGGACGCTCCCGGAGCCGCCGCAGGCCGCGAAGTTTACGCGGGAGCGGGCGCGGGGGGAGCTCGGAGGCGCGCAGGTGCGGTCCCCAGGGCGTTCGGGGCTTGCTGCCGCTCCCTTCTCCCCTCTCGCTCCTCTCGGTCCCCTTTCTCTTTGTCCACTTGGTCCTGGAAGGGGGGACATGCCAAGCAGAGGCCTCTCGAGCCCCCGACGGCCCTCGTCCCGGTCTGGTCCGCAGGTGGAGCGGCTGCCAGCAGCGCCGGGGACGGGCGAGTGAGGGGTGCGGGCGTCCACTCGGAGCCGCTCTGTCCTCCGGACACTTGAGAGCAGGTCACTCGGGGGTTAATCTGGATGCCCGCAACCCTCGCCTCGGGCCCGCCGCTGGGGGCCTGTGAAGCTGGAAAGTCAGTGCACCATTCCTTGCGGGGGGCGGGGGGGGAGGGGGGAAATCCTTCTGGGGAGCGAGTCTCCCGGCTTTTATCACAGTCTCAGAAGGGGTCGGGTCAAGGAATGGGCGCTCTTAATGAGCATGGGCCGCGTTTATTTTCCGACCCTCTTACGGGTTTGAAGTGTCCCCCGTTCGCAGCCTGTCCCTCCAACCCTGCTTTAGTGTCAGCGTGGGGAGAAGGGTTGTTTAAGATATCATTTTTCCCGTCAGCGCAAATGCCCTTTTAAGATTCATTAGCTGTCTGGTTTTGAAAATTTTTATTCCTTTGAAGTCTCCATCTAATCCTTTGAAGGGATTTGTTACACAGACCAAAGGAGCTGGTTAATGACTTGTCCATTTGTGCTTTTAAGAGCCATTTGTTTTCTTTTCTTTTCTTTTCCTGCTTGAAAGAATTGTGCTTTCTTGATTGAAGTCCCCCCGCCCCTCCCCATTTCAGCCTTCTGTGGTGTTTAGATACCTGGGTTTTACCCTCAGTTACCAGCATAAAAACTCAGCATGTTCTCATAAAACACAGGAAGCACGGTGAGCCAATGAGAACATAAACATCACTATTCAGTCTCGAAGCTTCAGACACCAGTTCTATAAGCAGCTAGGTTTGTGCTAACAAAAAACCAGCTTCCTTAAATTCTCAGGAGAAAAATAACACTCCTTTAAAAAAGTGTGTATCTATGCAAACACTGGATTTAGTTTGCTCACTTTTTTTTTTTATAAACCTAGAATTACAACTTAGCCCTGAGTTTTCAGAGCCTGGGCAAGACCATATAATACAATAAAAGAGTAAATTGGATGAATTGCCTTTGGTAGGTGCCTAATGCCTTTTCAATCAGTGGAACTTAGTCGCTAATCTTTTTATTAGAAGATAAATCTGGAGGTTTCGGTTCCCTGAAGGAAGTTTGCTCTTTTCAAAGTTTGTGCTTTTTCACTGAGATTAGAAAATTGAAACATTCTAACCGCGTAACACAGCAGGCACCTGCCGAAGGATGCTCATCGACTCCATCCCTCAATTCACTGTTTGCCCAGTGAAGACAGGCTCTAACTGATGATGGACCAGCCAGTTGAGAAATTACTGCAGCACTTTCTTTTTCCTGTGTTTCTTGGAAATTGTCAAGAAATCATCCCAGAAACCAGGCTGAAGTGCATTCAGGTGTAATATTGAGATAGGCTCTAGGAGAGTATAAAATATTAATTTGAGGGGGAATCCCACTCAGTTATTGGCTGGGAACATCCACCAAAGATAATGTGATATTATCATTAATTATGGAAAGGTAGAGGGAACCGGTATCTTACCCTGGCCCTTCCTATCTCATCTCAGGCCGTCACAATAGCTCTTTTGCTAGCATTTCTACAGCAGACCACTATCCTACCAGATGCTTCACTGTGTACTTACTCAAAGCCAACTTGGGTCAGTCCCATCAGCATCTCCAAATTACAGATGAAACTTGCCTAGGCACATGCAAAGGAAACGTTAGACAGAAAGACAGCCAGAATTCTTGAACTGGGAGATTTCCTCTACCGTGCCATCAGTAGCCCTTACCTTACTGCCTCTCTGTGAGTAGCAAGAGCAGTTCATTTTAATTCCAGGTAGTTTTGCACAAGCTAAGTGCAAATTCTCCTCTTTCACAGTTGGCTGGCAGCATCAGCATCACGGTATCCAGCAGTGTTGAGGTTCCACAAGTGTGTTCAGAAGCCCGAAGTAAGACCGTGGGCTGTGGAAAGAGAAGAGATTCTGTTCTGAGTCAATGCACATGAAAATGCTGGGTATATTATTTTCAGAAGGGAGAGTGGAGTCCTTATGTGTAACCTGTGGGAACAAAGAGAAGGGAATCAGGCTTCAGTGAATTCTTAAAAAACTATTTAGTCTTAAATTTTTAAAAGAAAACTGGCTTGGGTTCCACATTTCCTTGTTCTAAAAGGAGGTAATCTCATCAAGGACCCTTATTCTCGACCTACAAAGTGTGGGCTTGGTTTTAGTGTTCCTAAATATCCATAGGGAGGTGCGCACTTTACAGACAGAGTCCCCTGAAGCTGTCAGACTGTGTTGTCAGCACTGGTACCTGAGCCTCATCATCCCTGAGTGCAATGGGGGCTGAGCTCTGTGGGCACAGTTCAGTCAGGACACATGGTCACCTGGTGACTTAGTGTCAGCTAGAAATAGGAAACACAGATGTATACCCTCAAGGTACTGAGGGGGAAACTCCCTTTGGGAATTTCACGGTTGGAAGCAGGTCCATTTTTAAAAACATAACAGATTTTTTAAAGATAGATTTGTGTTTGAGTAAGGCTCAAAAGGGCACTTGTTAATTGTTACAAATCAACAGGTGTTAGGTTTTTCCTGTTCCCCTTCGGTGCTGGAATCGTTCTTCCACTCCCTTTATTTTCTTTTGACAAATAAAGTTGTTTACTTTAAAACGGTAAAACCAAAATGTTCAGATTCCAGTTAAGCACAGTGAACTGGAGATGCTGTAGGACTTCTTATGAGAGAAGGCGTATCGTGCGCTCACTATTAACAATTGCCCGGGTGGGGTTGCAGAGTCTGTTTACTGGCCTTCCACTCTCATGAAAATAATCGCTGCCTCCTCCTCATTTTCTTTCCTAAACTAACTTTATCCAAATCAGTTTTGCTCTTGTAAAATGTTCACGTGCAGAAAGGTCTTTTTGATGTCCTTTATAACAGTGGCCTTCGCACCTGGGCTATTTCTCCAAGGATTTGTTCGGTAACAAGGATGGGATGAGGAATTGCTCTAAAAAAAATAAAATTAAATAATGAGAATTCCTATTATATCCTGATGAAATTTTTATTTTGGAAAGAGAAAGCAACCTAAAATAATGTTTGGTCACTTTCTTCTTTCTTCCTCGCCTCTGCCTTTGTGGCGTTGGGAAGAGCTTGAGGTAGGATGGAGTGTAGATTCCACAGGGAATTTGCAGACTTTTAGCCCTCTAGGTAGTTGGCCATCCTGGCAGCAAGCGGCTCCTTTAGTCCCAAGCACCCCCTCTGGGGTCAGCAGCACCCTTGGGTCCTGGGTAGGGGGGTGTGGGGAGGAAAGAGAGGAAGAAAAGTGGAGATGAAGCGGAGAGCAGGAGGAGAGCGTGGGGAAGGAGAAGAGAGCAGAGGTGAGGGAATGGAGCTGGGAGGGGCCTTGGCTGGCTCCTGGTGCCCTGCCTTTGCTTCTTATGGCCTCGGGCTCGAGGGTATGAGGTCCAGCTCTCTCCTGCCCTGGCCAAAGGCTGCTGGGCCTCTCCGCAGTCTGGCCTTAGTTGTCCGTTCCTTTCTCCTTATATCACCACCAGGCCGTTGAGTGGGCTTCCCTGATGGCCCCGAGTGCTTGCTGACCCCAGTGCTGCCTCCTCGAAACCAGGTTGTCCTAATGCTTGGCCTCCTTTCCAGGGAGCCAGTGGACGAGGTGCTGCAGATCCCCCCGTCCCTGCTGACATGCGGAGGCTGCCAGCAGAACATCGGGGACCGCTACTTCCTGAAGGCCATCGACCAGTACTGGCACGAGGACTGCCTGAGCTGCGACCTGTGCGGGTGCCGGCTGGGCGAGGTGGGGCGGCGCCTCTACTACAAGCTGGGCCGGAAGCTGTGCCGCCGAGACTACCTCAGGTACCCCGCGCCCCGGGTCCCTGCAGCAAGGGCGGTCCGCAGAAGCCTGGGGCTGGCTCTGTCTCCCCAGCGCCTGTCCCTGCTGGGGGAGGTCCGGCAGCAGTGCTGGGTCCCGGCTGTCCCGTGCAGAGGAGGAGTTGGCATCTCTTCCTGTTTGAGAAGCGTGTTCTCAGGGATGCATCTGTACATGGTAAAATACTAATATTTTAAAGGCAAGAGAATGATTAACGCAAAATTCAGAATAGTGGTTCCCCCTGGAAGGCAGGCTCGGGGACAGCGTTAGGGAGGATTTCGCGGGCCGGCCAGAGGAACTGGGAGTGCTGTAGGTTAGAAGTTAGAGGGTCTTAGGAGCTCATCTAATGCTTCTAAACATACATATAGGTTGTAAATGTCCTTTTGCATGGCCTTGATATTATGCAATGAGAAATTTAAAAATAGAGAGCATGTTCTCGCTCTGGCGCTCTAAGCATTTGACTGTCGCAGGGCCAAGGCCGTGGGGTCAGTTGTAGGTTTGAGTTCCAGCACTCTGCCCTCTAGCTCTGTGACCATGGGCAAGTCACTTCACCTTCGTCAACCTCGATGTCCTCCTCTGTAAAATGGGGATAATAATGGCACCTACTTCCAAGGAGGAGGGTGGAGTCGCTGTGGGAATACGTGTGAAGTGCTTGGTGCGAGAGTGTCAGACAGCTCTCCTGTAACCAACCATTGTCTTTTCCTATCTGATGAACAAAGAGATAGGAGGGCAAAATAGGAACTCTACAGCGCCCAGGGAGGCAGGCCCTGAGGACATCTCTGACACTCTGCATCCCACTGTGGGCCGTGTGAATTTTCCGTCACCTAACGAGTTCGTTTGCTCAGAATATTCCAGCATATCCAGTTTCATATTAGCTGCTGTGGGGGTAACTCTGTGCCCTCTACTGTCAGATCTGCTCAACTGTGCAGCTGTCAGCTTTCTGCCGCCTTCCTGTCTGTGGAGCATGCAGCCCTGCTACATGAGGACCACCCAACCCAGTGATGCTTGTTCAGACTCCAGTGCCCGTGGCTGCCAGGCGGGCTCCTCCTCCCAAACCTGCCCTCAGAGCATTTTACACTAAAAAAAAAAAAAAGGAAAAACTGCAGGCAATTCCACGGTGAAGGAAGCTTATCTGTTTACCCAGAGACTGACAGAATAAGCTTTTTTTACACAAAATTCCTTGATCAAGTCCTTACAAATTTGGTGGTTCAGAGAAAATAAGAAGAGAGAAATAAGTTTCAATGACTGTGATTATAATTTTGGTCATTTTTTAAATTAAGTTAGGAGAAAACAGAACCGGCATAAAGAAAGACCTGATTTTGCTTGCTGCCAGTTTGCCAAGGCAGTGCAGACAAGCAGCCGGGTGCATGATTCCTACTGGGCCCCTGACTCCGTCCCTGTCAAGTCATTTGAATCTTATTAAATGAAGTGCAGATAGAGGCCGGTCAAAGGGCCCAGCTTCTCCCCATCTCTACAGTTTTATGTAACATCCAAGAATAAACCCGGGGCTGCCTGGGCTTGTTAATCTTTTCCATTTTTAAAAAGGAGAGAAAAAAATAGTCTGGGAGAACCCAATGTTAATTAACTTGTGTCTTGGTGACATGAAATAATTCTTCCCCTGCTACATTCCTAGGCAACATGTTAATTAACTCTGGGTGAGTGCGGGCGTTTCCAGCCATCCTTTAATATTTATATTATTGTTATTAAAATGGGCAGGAGAAAGCTTAAGACGGACACCTCTTGACAGAGGAGAAAAATCATTTTCTGCTTCAGGATGGCCCTTTAGTCATGGACCTGTTTACTTGCGTTCTTAACGTATCTGGCAGTGTCTTTAAAAAGGCAAGTTGGAGGGGTGACCGAATGGGTGCTGTGATGGGGTTTTGTCCTTTTCTCCCCACGCTAAGTCCTTCTCCTGAGGACTTCCGGTGGCCGACTTGCCTGTTACAGGCCTTTTCACACATTTAGCCTCAAATATTCATGAGACCCCCATGCAGAAGCTAAACCCTGCAGTTGTGGCGTTGTGTTGTTGGAAACCTAACAGCAGCTGTTCACGTCGGTGCCTGGCCTGGATCGCCTTGGACCCCTCTTTAGCAATTTTTGTCTGCAGTGTCCCCCCACGCCCAGTGGTTTTACTTTCAACAGCCAGCATCTTCTCCATTAGGGCTGGCATCATGCCCCTCCCCCAGACGCCCAGGGGCCCCAACTTGTGACGGGCACTGCCCGAGCACCAAAGCCTTGCCACCTGACCTGGAGTTCAGGTCCCCTGGACTGAGTCCCAGGGTGGTCAGGCCGGAGCTCCCTCTAAGGTCTTGGCCTGAGATGCCAACTTTGCTGGCTTTCCTCCCCTCCCCTTCTGCTTCCCTTGCTGCCCCCCTGGTTTCCCCTGAGAACACATCCTCACGTCCTCACCTCAGGATCTGCTTCCGGATGTCCAGCCTAAGGCAGCAATTCTTGGTGCGAGAGGAGGATACTCAAGGCAGACCTCGAGTCCTGGTTTATTTACTCTAAGTCAGATCTCAGAATCCTGGAGGTGAAGGGGCTGCAGAGGCCTCCTGTTTCAGCGTCCGTGTCCCGGCTTAAGACCGGAAGCCGGGAGACAGGATGTCATTTGCTCCGGGGTACCTGGCTAGCTAGAGGTGACACCGGACCTGAGCTTGTCTCCCAAGTATTAGTCCTTTCTCCTTCCCTCCGTTAGCTGCCTGATGTGTGTTGTAATTTACCCCCGACTTCCCTTTAATAACCGCTCTCCTTCGTAAGGCTCACCGCCCCAGGCAATGGCTGCATTCCACGCGCACTGTTTGGGGAGTTGTTTATCCGTCCTCAGGCCCAAATTCGACTCACTGAACAGTCAGGGAATCAGAACTCTTTCCATGCCATGACCTCCAAGGTGGCAGTTCCCCACAGATCTCCCATCTGCTACGTTGGGATAAATGTTCTCCCCCAGTCGTGAATTTGATCCCTGGTGGTGCCTTGAAAACAGTCGGAGATCGTCAGATGGAGAGTGAGATTCAGAGGGAAATAGCTGGCCCTGGCTCTCACAACGAGCTCTCTGCCCACAGACCACATCTCCTTGATTCCATTAATTTTGCCCAAATGTTTCAAGATTTGTCAGCTGCCCTCGGCTCCCCTACAACCTCTCAGAATGTCCCCGTTGATCCTCTGCTGTTCTGAAGCTAACGAGAACTTCCAGTGGGAACAAGCATCTACCTGAAAGGGTCCTGAGGTCTGATGTGGAAAGGATCTGCTAACATGCGTGTTGTCAGGCACGTGGGACAATGACTTCCTGTAGGAAGACTGGCACAGTTGGGAACACCCCCGAGATGTGTCAAAACACCACCAGTGTTGGCTTAGCTCTTGACTGTTGGTGCTTTGACGGGCTCCGTTCGATCCTTCTAACAACCGAGCACGGGAGATGTTAGGATCACGGCCATGTCACCAGCTCAGAGGAATCAGAGGTCTCTCGAGGTCACTCAGGCACTCAGGGCTAGTCCTGGACTGAATCTAGGTCTTCTGACTCCAATACTTGTGTTATTCCACTCTTGCAAGCTGATCCTCAAACTTCAGCCTGCATCAGAATCGCCTGGAAGTTTGATTCTCATTGACACACAGGCTGCTGGGCCTCACTCTGAGTGTCTCGACCAGGGGGCCTGAGAATGTGCATTTCTAACAAGGTCCCAGGTGATGCAAATGCTGCTGCTCCCAGGACCACACTTTGAGAACCACTGCACTCGGCTCCATTGTGCTGCATGTGCATCTCGACACTGAATATTGCTTGAAGTAAGTGGCCGATCAACTGGGACTTAGAAGCATCTTGCCTTCAATGTCAGAAGAGAAGTTTCCCCTGAGATTCATGCCAAGGGGGCTGCGGGGATCTTGAATTAAGATCTTCATTCAGCGTGGAGAGACACTCTTTGTTTCCAGACCTCTGATGCATGAGCAGCTGCAGCACGCATTTTCTGTTGAACTCCCTCCGTCTTCCAGAAACTGGGACCCCAGCAAACAATCGTGCAGAAATGGCCTTTGTAGTTTATGGAGAAATTCAAGACCACCCCTCCCCATGGGTGGAATTAGTGGCTATTACAAAAAATTTGGGAGTCTCACAAAGATGCCCATTTTTTCGCATCCCTGGTCTGTTCCCTCTGAAAGGGCCCCGGGGGGTTCCTCCAGCTCCTCATCTAAAGTGGAGCACACAGTTCATGCCTGACCTCTTAACTCCCAGCGATTCAGCTGAGGCTCTTCCCCAGAGGGGGCGCCCGGGGCAGCCCAGCCGTGTGGAGAGAGGTTGCTACAGGCAGGGAGAGCTCCAAAAACAGATGAGTTGTGCCAGACACAAGTGCCTCGGATTGTGGTTTCATCCCGGGGTACCCTCTCCCTTCTAGGAAAGACTCTATGAGTCCGTCTGTCTGGACCCAGCTCCTCCTTGCTTCCTGACTTCTTGGGAATTCAGCCTGCTTTCGGGAACCCTTCCTCAAGCCCTTTCTTCCAGTATTGTCTCTGCCACTGTCTTCTTAGCTTTCCTTTCTTTTTTCCCCAGGCTTTTTGGCCAAGATGGTCTCTGTGCATCCTGTGATAAGCGGATCCGTGCCTACGAGATGACGATGCGGGTGAAAGACAAGGTGTACCACCTGGAATGCTTCAAATGTGCCGCCTGTCAGAAGCATTTCTGCGTGGGCGACAGGTACCTCCTCATCAACTCCGACATAGTATGCGAGCAGGACATCTACGAGTGGACTAAGATCAACGGAATGATATAGGCTAGAGCCCCCACCTCTTTGCAGAGGAGTCTCCCTGAAGTCGCTGTCTCCGTGGGGTCTTCACTCTTAAGCACTTTGGGGATGTGAGGGTGGATGAGGCATATCCGAGGGGATGGTAGACCCTAATTGGGCACAAAGACACAGCATCCAAGTGACAATACAAAGGACGAGACTTAAATGTGACAAAATGACTGGCCTTTAGGAAGAACTTATGGCCAATGGCCACAGCCTCTCCTTAGTAACTGGCGTGGTTGGTAAGCTGGGGTGTGAGCAGGTGCTGTGCCGCCATGATGGAGCCACGTCTGCACATAGGGAGTGTTGTGGACAGCCTGTTAGGACTTCGACCCTTGAAATCTAGAGATGTGTGTTTGATTTCTTTTCTTCCTGGCTTTTATGACAACCCTGTTCTGGTCACTGTCTTCCACACAAGGGAAGGACAGAGAGGAGAGTGGACGTCTTTTTTTTCTTGGCCGCCTACTCAAGGCCTTCAGCCTTGGACCCAAGGGAAATGCATGGAGACACATTTCAGTTGATAATGGAAACTGCAACTTTTAGCTAAACAATTATTTAAAGCAATGCTCATGAGTCACTCTTTTTAGACACCTTAGTTTTGAGGTGTGGAGCTCCACAGATTGTTTCTATACAAATGTAAATCTAAAGAAAAGTTGTTCAACTATTTTATTATCTTAGATTATGTCAAAGTATTTGTTGTGTGTAGTTAAAAAAACTCTGCAGACAATAAAAACGACAGACTAAAATGCAGTGTTGTTTGTTTGATAATAACTTACAATTTGGGATGGCAGGAAAATGGCTTTTTCCATTGTAAAGGAGAAGTAAATAAGCAATTTACTCTTAGGTCACATAAGAACTTCCGTTTATTGCTAGAGTTTATACGACGCAGGCACATGTCTGTATGACTAACAGTTATATAACGGGTCATCATGCAGCTGAGAGGGATGTAGAATAATTAAATTGCTATTGTAAATGTGAGTCTCCCTTCAGCATCGTGTGGAATGAAGGGAAGGCAAGATCACTGCCTTTGGGAGACCTGTAACCTAGAAAGGACACAAATACATAAAACAGACTCCCTTTGGGAGAGAAGGTAATTACCTAGTTTGAAATGTGGCAAAGATGCTGAGCTTGACACTTCGATTTTCCAAGACGTGTGTCTTGGGGTGTTTTATGGCAAGTGGTCCAGAGGACCTCGCCAGCAGGATTTAGAGCAGCCCCCTCCATCCCGGCCACAGGGACCTGGCTCAGAGCGCCCCCTGCTGGCCTCCACCTCAGCTCTCTGGTTCAAGACTGTCCCAATGAAAGACCAACCTGGATGGGTGTGCTTCTCGGTTGTTTCATAACAAGACTGGCACGCACCAAGAAGTCTTAAGGTGTTTCATTACCAAGACGTCAGAAACATGAATCTAATGCCACCGTTAATTAACTATGATATTCTTTTAAAACCTCCATCCCTAAGATTTGTTTCTTTTCTCCTTCTAGAGGAGAAATAATTAAAGCGATGACTTTCTTCTGTAAAAAGCTAAAAGTGGCTGGGAAATTTGACTGCTTAATGTGGCCTATTTTTAAAACATCTAATTATATTGCATCTCAACTCAGGTGGTGGTAAGGTGCTGCCAGTGAGGGGATTTTTGTTCTAAATCAGCAAAGGGGATGTGGTTCTCAAATTGTGGTCCCTGAACCAGCAGTACCAGTATCACTTGAGAACTTCTTAAAAGGGAAGATTCATGGCCTCTACCCCAGACAGAGTGAATCAGAAACTGTGGGGCTGGGGTTCAGCAATCCGTGTTTTAACCAGCCCTGAAGATGATTTTCCTCATGCTCGAGTCTGAGAATGGCTCTTCCCAAATACCCTCCGGTTAGGCAGATCTTGGGCTCTAAGATGTTAATATTTGAGACAAAGGTTAGTCACTGAGTAACCTTCCCACAGGTAGGTCCCTAAATGGAACACTTTTACATAATTTTGTCACTCAGCTAACAGTTGTCATCTACCAGATCAATGACAATTCAATCCACCGTTTTCAACCATATGAACACTAATTACAGTAATAACAATAATGGTAGATTTTAACTATGCAGCTATCTTCTGAGCAGTATTAGGTAAAAATAAAAATGCTTCTTGCTTTGGAAATGTAAACTTCATTCTAGATCCCTGTGGTATTACTACACACATCAAATTCCAGAGCTCAGCCAATACTTCACCATCTCAATGAAGCCGTTATTAACATTTTCCATTTGCCAATGGCACATCTTGCAGAATTATGAACGCACAGGCAGCAGAGTCCTTGTGACAAGTCACCCGAAGGTCCCAAATGTCTAACCCACAACTGACTTGAGAGGAAGAACATGTGAAGAGACTTCTGGAGAGGCCAGCTCCCAGGGTCTAGCCTGGGGGTCCTTGCCTGAGTGTGTAACCCAGGTGCCCTCGACCCAGAGTCAGGAGAACCCAGCACCTGCTCGCTCCCCTGGTCCGTGTCTTAATTCAGCAGTTTGCTGGCACATTTTTCTTCCTCTCACTTCACTAATGTCTCATGTCCTGGAGCAGCTTCCTTTTATTGCTGCCTCTAATAGAACCACTGCTGCGCACGGAAACACGGACTTCTACAAAGTTAAAATAGAGCTGTGGCCAGGAACTTTATCATCGGCAGACTTGGGCTTGAATTGCAAAGACATGACTCTACTTAACAAACTTTACATAGCACTCACCACGTGCCGGGCGCTATTCTAGCTGCTTTACAAATATTAACTCCTTTAATCCACACAACAGCCTTATGGGGCAGTTTCTATTTATTATCAAACCGCATTTTACTACCAGGAAACTGAAGCACAGACAGGTTTAGTAACTTGCCTGAGGTCCGACAGCTAAAGAATGTCAGAAGCAGACTGTAGCCAAGGGCCTTCACCTGTGCTGTTGCCTCTCTCTCAGGCTCACCTCTCTGAACCTCAGGTTTCTCTTCTGCAAAATAGGGGAAATTAATATCTTTCTCCCCAGGTTATTTGAAAATATTTGAGTACAGTCTAGCGAGAAATGTAACCAAAGCACAATAATATGAGATCAGCACTGTAATAAAGATATGTAAAAAGTGCTATGGAAACACAGATAGGGAACAATTAAATCAGCCCAGATAGCTGTCTGCAATAAAGGGGAAATGACATTTGAAATGACCCTAGACTGGGAAGAAGGTGACATGGACAAGAGCAAAGACTCAGAGACCTTGACCCTGCAGAGCAAGTAGTCAGGTGAGCCTAGTTTTCATGGTGGTTGTGGTGGTGATGGTGGTGGTGGTGGTGGTGGTGTTGGTGGGGATGGTAGTGGTGGTGATGGTGATGGTGGTGGTGGTGGTGGTGGTGGTAGTGGGGATGGTGGTGGTGTTGGGGGGGAGGGTGCTGGTGGTGGGGATGGTAGTGGTGGGCTTTAGCTGGAAAGGGGCCAGGGCTGGTGAGTAAATAAATAGGGAAGATGAGGTTTTTCGCAATTTTGAGACTGAGTGGCAAATCAAAATCAAAACCCAGGAATCTCCGAGGGGGTGAGGAGAGGGAGCAAGGGAGGTACAAGATAGGCCTAGAACATCTTATTATACCAGCAAGTAAGGAAGTGTTCAAAACACGATGATGCAGGCGTGCCACATGGACAAAGAAGCCAGACTGAAGGGTCTATCAATGGCCAAATCTGGACAACTTGACTATCAAAATAATTAAGGACAGTAATGAGTTATAAACCATTGGGGGAAACAGAAGAATTCATGAGCTCACACCAACAATCAATAAACAGGGGAGAGGGCAGGGCTTTTGCTGACAGAACTTTGCATGCCAAGTGGTAAATGAGAAGAGAGTGTGGGAGTTGGAAAATCATCATTTTGCAACTACCATATTAAGATGATAGAATCGAGCAAGAATCATCAATAGTTGCTAAATTTCAGCAAAGAAAGAGCAGAATGCTTTAATGGTCTTAAAGTGCTTCCATATATTGCTTATTAGTTGCAAGAGGGGAAACCAATAATTACACAGTGGAGAAATGATGACACCTTGACCAGGTGACCCATGGAGGGGCGGATGGACACTGTGTGTCCCAGATGTGACACTCTGTCAGGGACACAACATCACTTGTTTCATATTCCAGCTCAGACTGCGTCACTCAAATCTAACTATGAGACAAATTATCAGGCAAACTCAAAATGATGAACATTGTATTTTAAAAAGGAGGGACGGACTCTACTCTCAAAAATGTCAATGTCATAAAAGACAAAGAAAGGCTGTGGGAATGTTCCAGATTAAAGAAAGCTAAGGAGACCTGACAATCAGATCCAATACCTGGCTCTCTGCTGGATCTAGGACCAGAGGGAAAAACACTATGCAGGACGTCATTGGGCAAATCGATAAAATCGGAATATAAACGGGCAGATTAGTTCAGAGTATTGCACAAATGTTAAATCTACTGAGGTGATCACCATGCTGTAGTTATGTAAGAGAATATCCCTATTATTAGGAAATATACACTGAAATATTTAGGAGTCAAGGGTCGTGATGTATGTAACTTATTCTCAAGTGATTGAGAAAAAATTTACGTGTGTGTGTGTGTGCAGAGAGAGAATAAATGGTAAAGCAAATTGAGTGAAAAAGTTAACAGACGAATCTAGGTAAAAGATGTACAGGTGCATTATTTTTATTCTGGCAACTTTCTTATAATTTTGGTAGTATTTACAAATAAAAAGTTTTTTTAGAAACACAGGAATCTTGACTTCTTGTTTGGGGCTTTTGGTTCAATTAAGAGAAGAATAAGAGTGATAAAGAGAGGAAAAAACATAGGTTAGAAGCCAGTGATGTACTACCGTTCGTTAGTCACAATGTTAACATACCTTTGACCATAGAAATCAAGAGCGTGTCTCAAGCAAGCCTTTCCCTCAGACACACACACAGGAAGTGAACAATGTGTTGACGGGGATTCACTCAGAGCCAGTTTCTGAAGCAGGTTATTTCTTAACCTGATGAAATGAGTTTACTCCAAATTCTGCATTTCCTTTGTAATTAGGATCAAGATTTAATCATCTGGTTCTGAAACGTGTGTATCGTAGGACCAGGAGTCTGAGCTATCGTGTTTTGTATGGAGATCTGAGAACTGAATTCAAGGAAGTTTCAAAGCACTGACGTCACTCCGTTCTCTACCAGTATCTGTGGATTAATTCTCCCAGAAAAATCATCATTTCTCTCAGTTAATAGAATCTTTGAAGCTAAATCAAGTCAATTTCCATTGTCACCTTGTGCAGCCTTTGAACTGGGCTCCCTGAATTATCCTATTTGATGACCACCTTGAAGATGACCTTGGGGTAGTCGTAAGAAAACACACAGCAACAGCTTCTGTGGGTTACGGCCAGTCCACCTCACCCACTCATTCTCGTTACTTAATGGGCGGCTCAGGGCAAATCCCTCCCTTAGATAACATAGTAGGTAAAATAGACATGACGGCAACGTAATATGATAGAGCACGGAGATGGAATTTGGAAACCTGATTCTGTCTCGAATAGGGGTGTGTTTCTAGGTAGACCTCAGTTTCCTCATTTCCACAATGAGGAACTTGTAGATTACCTATAGAAATTCGCTACACAAAATGTGGTTTATAGACCGCTAAGTATGGAAACTGGAAGTAAGTGTTTGGAATAGCCAGTCTCCAAGATGCCCTCAATGATTCTTGCCTCCCAGCTTAGTCTCCATTCACATCAAATAGCACTGACCTGTCTAGCCAATAGGATATT